GGGCGCGGCAAACCCACCCAGCCTGTCGTAATGAACCAGAGCTGCCCCTCCTTTGCATCCTGGGGGCTGTAGTTCCGGCGTGGATTACCCTGCCTAGGCAGCCCGCCGGCTGCAAACTACAACTCCCAGCGTGCTGTGCGAGCCGAGCTCCAGCCGGGAGGGGGGCGGGGTGCGCGTTCCTGTCTCGGGGGGGGTGTCACCCGGCTGGCCCCCGCGTCACAGAGGCAGGGGTTCTAGCGGCGGCGCGCGACAGGGTCCTGCTTATCTCCAGGTAAAGGATGCGCCGAGCTGGGTGCTGTGGGGGTAGGGTGCGCGCACCATACTGCTATGCTGGCTGTAAGTGTGCCCGGATGGCATGGGATTTGTTTGGCACCAGCAGGTGGGGGCGGAGGGTTAGCAGGTGGGTTGTGCACAGGAGTTTCCCGTGCCCGGTGTCAGCACGTGTGTCCAGTGAAATTTGCACATCAGAGGGATGTTTCCACCCCAGGACAGTCAACAGGTGATGTGTCTCGAGGGAGGGAGGCAGGCAACACCAAGCGCTGGCCAGGGCGGGGTATGATTTAGAGATGCGTGTGGCTGTTTTGTAAGGCTGTACGAGGAAGCCCTCATGCACAGGTGTGTGTATAGCTGTGGTGGGGGATTTATGAACTCTGTGTATTTGTACATAAACACTGAAATATGTGACACTACTTCGGGTGTTCCTTTGGCTCCCAGACTGTAGAGAATGTTCATACCTACATACTGATGGAAAAAAGTCTCAGAGGGGTAGCCGTGTGAGTCTGCAACTTTTAAAAACAAATAGTCCTTTGGCACCTTACAGACTAACCTATAACATATTCTCTTCGTATATATCGTGTGCTTTCATGGGCAAAACCCACTTCTTCAGATGTGCTTGAGTGGAGAAAACTGGTGGTTAGTAAAATCTCTTATTTACCCCTCCAAAAGGACTGAAAATGTGGTGTGCTTCAAAGAAGCGGGTATATTCCTATCTGTTACCCCCACTGTTTGCCTGTTGCAGCCAGCAGGGTGGTTAAGCTCCAGAACAAACTGCCAACAGAGGTTATGGAATCTGTCACTGGAGGTTTATAAGAACAGGTTACACAAACACTTGTCAGGAATGCTCTAGTTATTACATAGTCCTGCCATGAGTGCAAGGGACTGGATTAGATTACCTCTCCAGGTCCTTTCCAATGCTACACTTCTATGATTTTATGGGTTTTATGCATTAATGCCTTATTAAGCTCTAGTCAAAACTAATTTTCACTGTTCTGCATCAGTTGTTTGCTTGTCTCCAATCACTATGGAAAATAACCAATGCCTTTGGGAGTTATTGCCTGTGTTTGCAGGTATGTTCTGGATTTCTCCATTTACATACACAGGAGAGCTGCTAATCCCTAAATCCCAATACAATTAATGGTGCAAAAAAAGGTAGCTGAAATTTTTCCCCTCCTCAATTCGTATGACACAGATAATTAAATACTACCGCTCTCTGATCCAGATTAGCTCTTAAATTAGGACCAAAAAGACTTTGAAAATAAAGTTGATAGGAGAAACCCGTGTGTGGGAAACGCCGTAATTAAAATGAGCAGCTTCAGGGAAAAATGCTTATTGGAATGGGGATGACAAGAATCTGATGTGGTTGTTAATTTTGACTCCCTGCTTTTGATGTCCTTGCCTTGATAGGTTTGGTAAGGCGTTTTAAAATAATGGCGCTGATGAAGAGCGGCTGGCTTTGGAGACAAAGTAAGTTCAGAATGTAATTTAGTAATGTCATGCCAAAAAAAAGGTCTCTCTACAGGTGGGGAGGGTTGCATTGGACTGGCTTTTCCTGGCTGTGTTCTCTTTGTTGGAGGAATTTGGGGACAGCTTTTTTCTTCACACACTTTGGGTCGCAGGCTGACAGGGCCAGCCTTAGGGAAGATGGTGCCCTACGTGAACTGGTGTTTTGATGCTCCTAACCCCTGTGGACATAGCACCACCCAGTTCCCCTGGCACCCAGTGGCTCCCCAACATGGCGCCTCCCTCCCGTGCTCTCTTAATCACTAACTTCATTGTGCCTCCATTACCCCCTAACCTCCACAGTACCTCCTTCATCCCAACCCCTGCACTTGTCTCCCACCCATGCCCTTAACCCAGGCCCTGCACTTCCAGCATGCCTCGTCACACTGTCTTCCTGTCTAGTACCCTCAACCCCTTTTACCTAGCAACACACATGCCCAGTTGTCCCTCACCCTCTGGCTATGGTGCCCTGGGTATGGGCTCAGTTTGCCCAGCCCTAAGGCTGGCCCTGCTGGTTGATATGCTTATCATGTGCACAGCCTGGATCCTGAGCGCTTAAACATTGCCCGGTAACTCACTGGCCACAGGATAGTGCAGGACTGGGATCTTAGCGTTTCCCTAAGTACATAAGAACCTGATAGCAGACAATCCTGTCTCTGTTGATAGAGATCTCCTAAAATATATGTTCTAGTCCAATCACAAGTTACTGGGCTCAGTGTATGAATTATTGAGAGTAATTAGTCTGTGTTATGCAAGAGTCAAGCTAGATGGCCCCATCTGGCCTTACAAATCTGGGCTCGTCTTTCTGTTTGGACATGTGACTTCCCAGACTGCATTATGCTTCCTGAACAGCAGTGACATGAAGGCTATGCCTGGGGTGCCCTTCTGCACCTGTCACACCAATTCTGATTGCTCTGGGCCTGGAAATTACTGCAACAGCACAAGGCTGCCACAAGCACAAGCTAATTAATGGCTTTGTTGACATTACTTCATGGTAAGAATCTCTGGGCTCGATTTTGTCCCCTTATTTGCATTTGGTGATTGAATTCTTCACCCTAGTCAATGAGACTCCTTGGGCAAGTAATTCATCATTTCAGGTGAATCAAGGGTTAACAGGCAGGCCTCAGAGTAGGTTTTGCTGTCCCTCCTAGCAGCCTGCTCTGTGATAGCTGAGTATGTGACAAATTTGCTGTGATTGCTGATTTGGGGCAGGTTTTATTTTTAAAGCTCCCACTAGGGGCCCAGATTAAAACTTTTTGGCTTTCCCTATTTGAACTATATTGTGCCGGATTCACCTCTGCTGTGCTTTGTGCAATCACATACCACTAGGTGTGAAACAGCCTTTCTGATCTGGCAGCACCTTCCATTCATTTTTTCCCAGCTGTAAAGGGGAAAAGCAGCGGAGAATCAGACTCTGAGTGCCCCCAAGTGCCCTGGGGTCTTTAAATACAGAAGCAAAGATGAACAGGACTGTGCCCCAAAGAGCTTACAGTAAAAGCAGACATGAGGAAGACCAAAGGGCTCATTAGTGAACCTGACTATTTACAGAAGGTATAAGGAGCCTGCTTACTCCCTGTGCAACTGTCTACAGCACTGAGCCCTACACAGGGGCTATGGGTTGTTCTCAACCTGCAGCCTGTGGGCTACTTGTGGCCCAATCAGCACACAGCTGTGGCCCATGTGGAATCCTCAGGGCCATGCAGGCAGTATTGGATATGGCCCACATAACCCATTGTGAGCTGTATACAGTGGTAAATAGTTTGAGAACCACTGGGCCAGAGAAACATGGCTACTACCTTCTTCCTCAGGTGGGCAGGAAGTGGATGGGGCTTTGGCTCCCTCCGCTCCCGTGATGCCATGCCAGCAGAGCTGAGCCAGAACAGAGGTCAGTGAGTTGTACCATCTAGAGGACTGTGTAGCAAAGCCGGGACAGAACCTGATGCTGCGAGTAAGTCTACTCTTCCAGCTGGAGATGGTTTTTCCAGCCCCGTCCCTTTTTGCTGCTCTCACCCACCCTGTTACCCCTGTTGGGGAGGCAGAGGAGCTGAGGCTGAGAGCTTGCCCTGGCTGGGACTACAGCAGATCTCTCTGCCCTAGAGGAAAGGCTGAGCCTGAAACCCTTCCCTTGTTCCACCCCTTCTGCCCATTGTCCAGGCCCTACCCTATTCTACCCCTTCCCCTGTGGCCTGGCCCCAATTCCATCCTCTTCCTCCTTAAAGCCTCGCGCTCTCTTCTCCCCGCCCCTGCTGTAGCCCCCCCCCCCCTGCAGCCCCTCCAGGCCCAGAGCCATGCCGGGGGGAGATTTTTTAGGAGGCTCAAAATTGACCACTGCTCCTCTTTGGCAGCACAAGGTTTGGGGAGCCCCACTGCCTTAAGTGCATCATATTTAAATATCAAACATTAGTGAATTACTACTAGGGATGTAAATACCCATTAAAAATGTAATTGGTTAAAGGATATAATTTAATTGTTTAACCGAGGGCTGGTGCAGAGCAGCTGGGGTCCTGCAGCAGGGCTGCTTCAGGCAGGGGCCCATGGGTAGGGTCCTGCTGGTCTTCATTATGCGCTGTGCAATGGTGATCTTGTCTGAGACTACTCTTACATGCTTAGGACAGCTAGCCCACCCACCCCCATCGCCACCACGACTGCTTGTGCTGCCTTAGCTCTGCTGCTATTTGTAGCATGCTAGCCTCATCAGATCTAGCACAGGTGTGTCTCCTCAAGACAGAAATGATTCCTTGTGCTCCAGTGTAGACATACCCTCTGCAGCACAGTCCCTATTCTGCTACTGCGACGTTGCCTCTTGGGATCGTCCAGAAGGACCAAGTGGGAGACAGAAGCTAAGATCCCAAGCATGCTTTAGCCGTGCAGCACACCACACAGCTCTCTGTATGCTTCTCCTTATCAGATTGGCCTTTGCTTGTGGGCTGTTATTTTGTGGTGTAAAGTAAGACCTGTGCTCCCCACTCGGCAACTCAAGCTGGGTGTCTGGTTTGTGTCTCCAGCCAGACAAGCCTTTGGTCCATCAGAACCTACATGGGGGAGAAGAGATCCAAAACTAAAAGGGCTTTTTAATGTAGCAACTAAAGGCAGAGTGGGATCCAGTAGCTGCAAGGTGAAGGCAGCAAAGCTCTCCTTGACGTTCACAGGGCAGTGTTTGGATGAGAGCTAGAGGTTAGATGCTCTGCCCCATCAGCATCCCTGCAAGAGGACTGTGCTGTTATCTGGCTGGCAGACCCCTGTCTGGATTTTGCCTGGACACCTTTTCCCCTTGCTGTTGCAGGTTCCATTTTGCGACGTTGGAAACGGAACTGGTTTGTTCTATGGCTTGACGGTGGCCTTGTATATTACCAGGATGAGACCCAGCGTGACCTGGAGGGCAGGATCCACATTAAATTCAACTGCCGGGATATAAAGACTGGCCGTGAATGCAGAGGTGAGCAAATCCTTCAGGGGGTCCGATTGCACCTTGTGCTTTCTACGCCCTTACTTCTGCAGAGGCTAAGATGTTGGAAAAACTGTCCTCAGGGCATGAGTGATGGGTGAGCTAGGTGGGGGAAGGCATTGCCTTCCCAAGCCGTCAGCCTGCACCCACCCATACTCCATCCCCAGAATGCCTACTGGGGCTGCATGCTGCCCCACCTCCCCATGATGGTGGGGGTGGGGCCTGGGCAGAAGGGGCAGGGCTGGGGCAAGGCTGGGGGCTTGCCTCCTCCAGCGCTATCTTCACCCATCGCCCATGCCTCTGGGTTTCCCAGTGTTTGGTTTGTGCTGTCTGTCTGTCGTGTGGAAGCACTCCTGGGCTATATCTACACTCGCGGCTTTTTGCGCGAGTAATATGCAAATGAGGCTAAGCATGGAATATCGCCAAGCCTCATTTGCATACCTAGTGAGCCACCATTTTTTTCAGAAGAGGGTCTTGCGCAAGAAGGAGCGTCTACACTGCCCCTTCTTGCGCAAGAAAAACCCTCTTGTGCAATGCCGTTACACCTATTACTTTTCAGGTTCTGCCCACTGGACTATGCAATCTCTCATGTTCACGCTCAGTGTTGTGGTCTTGTTCTGTTTCACGTGTCGGTTCTCGGGTTCCCTCCATGCTCTGTCTGCTCACCAGGCTCCTGTTCTAGTTGTGACCTCCACAGCTGTGCTGTGCGCTCCGGCTGCAAGGTGATCCCTTAGTGAGGCTTTGCAGATTTGTTTAGCGAATGACTTCTGCCCGGCACCTCCACAGGAGCAGGGCTCACTGGGTGCTTCTCAACCAAGTGTTCCAACCAGAACAGCTGTGAGCTGCCTCCATTCCCAAACATGCCTCCCATCTCTGGAACCTCTGCCTTCTTCGCAGTTAACCACGAATGGGCTTTCCCATATGCTGTCCAATACACGAGGTGGTGGGTAAGACTGGGCTGATTAGGCCCTTTCTTGGGAAAGGGGGGAAAAGCCCCCTACTAATGGACAAAAGCTGCAACTTTGCAGTCCTATGCAGATGTAACATCAAAAGCCCCTTAAATGTCAAACTGCCATTTCAGAGAGAGCAACGCCAAGCCCAAGTTCTGAATCTTGTTTTTCCTCAAATTCACCGTGGTCTTGTTCCCACAAGCCCCAGAGAAAGCAGCTGCCTGTCTCCAAAACGCCCATTTACACATGACCATTCTATTAGGGAATTGCGAGAATAACAATGATTAGGTAGTTGGAGAGATGGATGGCATGCTTGTTACCTTGGTGACTAACTTAGAGGCTGCTTATTGCTTGAAGTGAGGTGTTGAGCTTGTGAATGACCAATTCCTTCTGTCGAGGATGTGAACTTATTTGGAACTTAGCTCTTGATTATAATAGACGCTACTTGAATCAGAGAATGTGTCTGAATATATGAACGAGTGCTACAGGATGAGTATACAAGCCCTGGCAGTGGAACACACTCTGCATAGGATACGAGCCCTTTTTTCTTTGGGGGAAGAGGGTAATTCTCTCTGTGTTCTTTGGTTGGCATTTTGTTGTTGTTCTAATGACTCAATAGTGGAACTGTATTGAGTCAGCAAGTCGTAGGATCCCTCAGGCAGTTGAGACAAAGGAAATTCCTGTGGTACAAAGCTCCTTTCTTGGGCTTCTAATTGCAACAACAACACTGCAGCTCTTTTGATTATGGAGAGGCAACAGTTTTTCTCTCCTTTCCCTGCATCAGGTTGTTGGTAGATTCCAGTAGAAAGCCCTGTTGTTGCACTCGTATCACTTTTTGGCTCAGAAAACCAGTTTGGCCTGAAAATTTCAGATTTAGTTTGAGAAGGTTTCTGTCAAGTTTGAAGAAAATCTGTCAAACGAGGGTTGAATAACAGTTCACCAAAAAAGTGGGTATTTTTTAACCTTTTTTTCTCTTTATAGTTTCTCATCTCCTCACAATGTTTTGCCATTACCCTTCCAATTTCCAGAGTTTAGTCTCCTTAAACTCTTGAACTGGCTCCATTTGAAGACAAACTATTGTAATCCAGCTCTTCTTTTTATTTAAAAATTGAAATGCTTTAATAACCTCCTCACTCTCTCTTTACTTACCTATACTCTAGGAAAAATGCAAGCTACATAAAAGCTGGGTGAGGGAGGAATGATACCTAGATCCCCATGGGGGAAACTGACAGCCCCACCTCTATCATCATAGGGGACAGCCCTGGCTGCAGACCTCCACAGCGATATGGGGCAAGGTCACCCAGCAGCGGCTCGAAGCCATAGGGTGTAGGCACCAAGCCTTGGCTCCAGATCCTACTGCTAACACCAGAGGTCTGGTAAAGTTACAGAATCCCTTCTCCAAGACAGACCCATACCCGTTGGAATACAGAGCGGGGTGAGGCCCATTTTACCCACAGTGGAGTGTCAATGAACCCCTGGAACACATGGCTCTCATGTGGCACCCCAGGGTCAGTAAAGTTATAGTGCAGAGGACCTCAGCCATGTCGTGGGTGTGTGGCCACAATGTGGGGTGTAGCTGGGGAAGGCTCTTACACGGGGCTGTGGCCATGGACTCGGAGGGCCTGGCTTCTGAGGAGGAGGAGGTGCTGTGTGGGTGTGTGCACATGGGTGTGTGTGCGAGTGTGCTCTCGCACATGTCAGGCGGCTCGCTGCAGCCTTGCACTCACTCCAACGCGCTGGTGCTTTGGCTTCCAGATGTGCAGCCTCCAGAAGGGAGGAGCCGAGATTGCTTGATGACAATTGTGCTGCGAGATGGCTCCAAAGTGACCCTGTGTGCAGAAAGTGAGGACGACGCGGTGTAAGTATTTGGGGGGAGGGGAGTTTGCACTGCCAGCAGAAGAATGGCCAGGGTGCCCCCATTTTATACCAGGCCTTTCTCTTGTGTGCTTTAACTCTTATTCATGGCCAGGGCTCAGAAACCTGCTAGATGCATGTACCTCACTGTTCTGTTGCAAGAGACACCCCCCTCCTGGGAGACATGGTGGCTGTGTCTACACTGGCATCCCTTCCGGAAAAGGGATGCTAATGCAGCACATCGGAATAGCAAAATCCGCGGGGGATTTAAATATCCCCCGCGGTATTTGCAGATAAGCCGGAGAAAAGCGCCAGTCTAGACGTGATTCTCCGGAAAATAAGCCCTTTTCCGGAGGATCTCTTATTCCTACTTCGAAGTAGGTGTGTTTGCATATGAGCCCCAGGGGACAGGAATCAGGCAGAGTTAATGGAGCCTGCTCCTGCACAACACAAACATGGTGAGAGGAGCATGTTCCCACATAGGGCTGACAACATGGACAGGGACTGTTTTCTTAGCACCCCTGCCCCACCCCTTCTCCTGATGTAACCCTTCTGCCAGGCCAAGTAAATAGCAGCAAGGGCCAGGTTCAGTATCTAGAGGTCTCCTCCCAACAAGGTAATACAACACCAGCACGAGCCCCTACCCAGTGACCTGGGAAATCTTACATACACCTCTGGGTGGCTCAAAAGAGGCAATTCTTCCCTTCTCGCAAGCACAGAGCCTCAGTATAGTAGCAAACCTTTAATAACATGAGGTGAGGTAACCGACATCTGCATTAAATCGGGGAAACACCGTCTGCTATCTGCCCGCACTTGCAGGTCGCCCCCGCCAGCTGCATCTGCTGTGTGCCAGCCCCTCTGCTATCTGCCCGCACTTGCAGGTCGCCCCCGCCAGCTGCATCTGCTGTGTGCCAGCCCCTCTGCTATCTGCCCGCACTTGCAGGTCGCCCCCGCCAGCTGCATCTGCTGTGTGCCAGCCCCTCTGCTATCTGCCCGCACTTGCAGGTCGCCCCCGCCAGCTGCATCTGCTGTGTGCCAGCCCCTCTGCTATCTGCCCGCACTTGCAGGTCGCCCCCGCCAGCTGCATCTGCTGTGTGCCAGCCCCTCTGCTATCTGCCCGCACTTGCAGGTCGCCCCCGCCAGCTGCATCTGCTGTGTGCCAGCCCCTCTGCTATCTGCCCGCACTTGCAGGTCGCCCCCGCCAGCTGCATCTGCTGTGTGCCAGCCCCTCTGCTATCTGCCCGCACTTGCAGGTCGCCCCCGCCAGCTGCATCTGCTGTGTGCCAGCCCCTCTGCTATCTGCCCGCACTTGCAGGTCGCCCCCGCCAGCTGCATCTGCTGTGTGCCAGCCCCTCTGCTATCTGCCCGCACTTGCAGGTCGCCCCCGCCAGCTGCATCTGCTGTGCGCCTGCACTCACCAGTCGTCCCAGCAAACTGCTCTGCTGTCCACCTGCGCTTGCTGGGTGTCCCTTGCAAGCTAGTAGCCCAGCGCCAGGCTCCCCACAGTACACAGTGATTTCAGCTCTCGTCCACAGCACGGTGATTTCAGCTCATAACTTAGCACTAGTGCTCCATTGGCCCACAGTGAAGTTAACTCCACAGCTTAACTCCTAATGGAATCCAAATTAACTCTGATATTCCACAGTGGAGAGACAAGGGGATGCAATTGGTATTGTTCAGGGCCCTGCCACCAAGTACAAAGACCTATGCCCAGCTTTTCTCAATTTGACTGGGTTTGGAACCGATGCCCCTTGTCTAGCGAGTGCTACTTAGGTTATGGCGAATCCCTCTGTCATAAACAGTTCCACCGTTCCATTGTCCTTGATTCGCATAATCAGCGTAACAACACTTTTATCCCCCCTGCCTCAATAACAGAGAGACTGGGGATCCCACAATGGCCAAAGTGACCATTTGGGCTGCTGTGAGCACATACTAGACAGGGTGGGTGTGTCTATGCAAATTGGGCTCAGCCCCTGAGGTCTCTTTGCACCACTTCCACAGTTCACCACCAGATGTCAGGATAGAGTTTACCCTGATATGAATTATTATTGTTGTCGTTACCAGCAATAATACTAAGCAGTACTCGTCTACATTCGCCAGGGGTACTTTTACTGATTTTTGCAGCACTTAGCAACTCCTGATCTTGGACAGAGATGGAAAAAAGAAGGGCGGTCCCTTGTACTAAGGGACAGTTGCAGTTAGGGTTGCCAGGTGTCCGGTTTTCTACCAGACAATCCAGTATTTGCACCCTCTGTCCGGTAGAAAAATTCAGAAAATACCAGACATGTGCAATGTCGGGTATTTTCTGAATTCCTGGCTGGCTGCTGGACAGAAGCCAGGCAGGGGCGGGGGAGTGACTGGGATTGGCACT